CGTTAACGAGATCTGATTCCTAAGTTGAGAGCTGTTCTTCCTGTAACGCTTCCGAATAACGAGGTCCTGGTCGAAAAGAGTTGAAAGATTGGAAATTAGGTGGTCGTTGGAATCCTGATCGCAGTAAAGTGGTCCTTGGTGACATCAAGCATAGAGAATGTCTGGATCCATCCATAGTCTCCTGATAGGGAGGGCAGTGCGATTAATGGCTTCCATCGACTGGGTAGTGTTCGGCAAGTGGGTGGCGAAGAGCCAGTCGGGCATATGTCATGACGGTATCTCCTGGCGCTTAATGCAGTTTGCTGCTTGGCTAGCCTAGGGAAATGTTAATAAAGGTAAAGTAAACTATATTTTTAATGACATATGGGGCACAAAATAATTGGTGTTATGTAAATGTAATTCTCTATTCATATAAGAATTGTAATGTAAATGGAGACTGAAATAGTCCAAAAATATATGGGTAGTGTTTCAAAGTCGATCCAGTATATATAAAAATGTGCTTTTTTATTTCTTTTTCTCTCTCTCTTTCTTTCTCTTTGTTACTTAATCTATAAAATCATTTTAGACTAATATTTACTTTAATGTTAAGACCCTTAATTAGCATTTTGCTTAAAGCAATATGCTTTTCTCATTTATTTCGTGCCCTGATACAGATTGTGATACAGATAACGCAATTTTGATAGAATACAAGTATGGCAGTTGCCATGTTTGTGATTTATCTAACAACTTCTCTTTCAGTAGTCATAAGTTTCTTTTGTTTGCTTTAAACTGCTTTTGTATAGGAAAGTGTTAATTTCACTTCTTTGCATAACATAAATGGTCTTGTGTTAGGATCTCAAAGACTTCATGAGACAAGCCGGGGAAGTAACCTTTGCAGATGCACACAGACCTAAGTTAAATGAAGGGTAAGCCTGTCAAATGATCTCTTAAAAGCTGTAGAGTAACCTGTATATGTAATATTTGCGGAGGGAAGCTGGCTACTTCCAGTGTAAGCAGCTGTTCATGGCTTAATTTAGCTACCCTCTGAAAATGCTTGTGGGAAATACTTGGGGAGGGGAACTTTACATGCTTCAGTGATGACAAGGGATAATTACACTGAACAGTGTAGGTTTTGGGACTTTGATTGTTTGGGTTTTTTCCAAGTGTAAATTTGCTTGCATTGGTAAATTTCTAATAGTGAACTTTATGTTTAGGGATTTTGTTGTTTTTTTTTTCCATAGGGTGGTTGAATTTGCCTCTTACAGTGATTTAAAGAATGCTATCGAAAAGCTTTCTGGTAAAGAAATTAATGGAAGGAAAATCAAACTAATTGAAGGCAGCAAAAGGCACAGGTATGGATTTCCACTCTTAAATAATGCTTAAGCATACTCTGAGAAGCTTTGAAGTCAGTGACCAGGCAGCCGGGCTGGAGAGCCATGGGTTGCCTGGTTACGGCCGGGCCTGTGTGGTTCCGAAGCTGACACTGACTCTGTTCCCTCCTCAGTAGGTCCAGGAGCAGGTCACGGTCACGCAGCAGGAGCTCCTCCGGCTCTCGCAGCCGCTCTCGTTCCCGCAGCCGCAAGTCCTACAGCAGGTCACGGAGTAGGAGCCATAGCAAGTCGCGATCAGTTAGCAGATCTCCACTGCCAAACAAGAGCCAGAAACGTGGTTCTTCCAGTAGATCCAAATCTCCGTCATCCACAGATCGGCAGAGGTCTAGATCAAGGTCCAGATCTGTTGACAGTGGCAACTGAACTATAAATAACTTGCCCTGAGGGCCCTTTTTTAAACCATACTTGCTAAAACTTGTGGTAAGTATGTGACTTTCTGTGGGGAAGGGCTTGGATGGGGAGGGGGGAGGGGATGGGGAGCTTTGTAGATGTGGACCATGGTGGGAAGGGTTATTGACTAATTGTATTAAATGTTTTTTGATAACCCTTTTGCTCACATTTTTTTGTGAATGTCTGAAGTGTATAGTTTGTGTATATTGGCAGAGCTCTTTATAACTAAAGCAGTCAAATTTTTTTGTACTCTAAAATCATCTGAACACTTAATTCTCAGTATATTCAACTGTGAATAGCAACTCAAAAACATTAGTTTAATATCTCAGACTAATAGTTTTAGGCGTCTTAAGAGCTCTATATGTGCTGTACATAAAGCTTTATTTCAGAGGGTATTTTTTTGTGCTTTTGAGACATTGTTTCAGCTATAGGTCAGCAGATTAAGTGCTGGTCGGTACTCGTAATAAAACTTTATTTTAAAATATTTTCATTTAATATAACTTGCACTACACTAAGAAAATGCCCATTTCACTGCCATGTGATAATAATATTCTATAAAGCACTCTTATTTCTTGATACCTAAGAATGAAATAGTTCAAATAAAGTAAAAAGAAACATTTCTGCCTCTTGTTTCTTGCTGTCAATAAAGTGGTTGTGACTGTGTTAAAATGTTTCTTAAAGATGGAGCTGTGGCAAAGTGGTAACACTCTCCTTTTAAATACTTGGTGTGATGTCCTTGGATGTCTCTGTTCTGAAATAAGAACATGGATAATCAGGCTGTCAGTTCATGGCAGAAAGTGGAGTGGATGAGTCATTTAGCTTTTAATCACTTGGGATAATAAGTGGAGTGTTAAAGACAGATGTAGTCGGCATACTTCATTAGTGTATGTGTGCATGTTCATATGAGAACACTGAGGTGTAGACAAAACTGTTTTTGTAAGCATTAGTTCTCATTCTGGTGGAAGAGGGATTTTTATGTCGGTGTCTGGGAGTAATGCAGCAGTCATACCATGAGGGTCTGTGTTCTAGTGTTTGTAGCTTCCAGTGGCAGCAGCCCTCTGCAATCCCTATATTTTTTAAGCCCTCACCCACAAGAGAATTTAGGAATTTAATCTTTAAAATCATGTGTTTTCTTACAAAGTGTTTTACAGAGTTCTTGTAGTAATCTGTAGAAACCTTAAAAAAGATCTTTGTGGCCTAGGCTTGTATTTGGATAGGTCACAGCAAGTGCAAGGTGGTTCCTCTCGGAGCAAGGCCTGGCCTTGTTGGGAGGTCAAGAGTTCGGCAGCCCTGCTGCCCTGTCTCTGCTGCTGCAGAGGTCCTGTGGGCCAAGCCAAGGAAGGAGGAGGAGTTCTTGTTCTGTGTTGTGTCTGTGGAGGGGGCAGTGTATTGGGCTGCCAGGCACTGCTCAGAGCAGGCATTGAGAGATCCACAGTTAACTGGATTGTTACCAGTCAGCTTTGGGAAATGGAAGCCTTCATTCTCAGAGCCTTCGTGGTGCAGATGCTGGACCCCAGGAGGTGTGGAGCAAGGGGGCTCTAACTTGCAGGGGTAAAAGCAACATTCATATTCATCAGAGTGGAAGGTCAGCTGTGTTGAGATCTTGAGTCTGTCAGTCCTACCAACTTGGATGATGATGAGCATCTGTGTCCAAGTGGGACTTGGCTTCAGCTGCAACCCAGGTGGCTGAAGGCACTTGATGTGATGAAAGGGATCATAGACTTCTCTCAGGCTAAATGTGAAGTATTATCTGCTCTCTAAATGGTCGTTCTGAATTCTGTTTCTGGACTACACCACTTACTTGCTTTGCAAGCAGCATGTGCAGGTGTCTGCATTTTCCCTAGGGAGCTGGCTGGTGTAGTGATGAGCTTCCTGTTAAACTCCCAGGTTTTGCAGTATGGAGGCTTATGTTGATGTATGGCCACAAATTACTCTGTTTATTAAGTGTGCGTTCTTGGTATGAATCCGTTTATTCTTAATTAAGAGTAATTACTTTGGGTTACAAGGCATAGTCTGGACACTGGGAATGTCAATGCCAATCTTTCCTGCTACTGTAGTAGTGTAGTGTGACCGTACCTAGGTGGTGTGTAGAACAGGTGTGGTGTTGAGTTCACTGACTGCAAAAAAGAAGGCACATTTAAGGTTCATTAGTTTTGCAGGTACAGCTTGCTGGGCCCCAGCTCGGCTCACAAAGACAGTTTAGCCATGATCATGTGTAGCCATGATCATGGTTTGTGTGGCTTCTGCTTTGGGTGTTCAGTTGGTACCACATGGTACCCGTTGGAGAATGGGAGAAACCAACAGTCCATGGGCTGCTTGGCTGTGCATTGAATCTCACTGGCTTCTGCATGGAGAAATTTTCACAGCTCGTTCTGGGTCTGTTGGAGAAATAACGTGAATTTACAGTGGTGCCATCAGGATCTGCTTCCATTGTGTGCCAGCAGGACAGTTACAGGTAAGTGAAATTTAGAAAGGGAACTGATGCAGGCAGCGATTTTCTTACAGGTAAAACTGGGACAGTCACTTAGCATGTTCTTCAGCTGTCCCAAAGGGTTGTCAGAATGACTTTGAAGGTGGAAAGTCTCCTCCTTTCTGGGCTGACAGAGCAAGGCTTAGTCTGGAGCAAGGTCTTTGGAGAATAGCAGTGTGGTTGCGGATGGCTCTGTGGCTGCTGTGAAATGAGCGTATAGGTAAGTCCTTGACAGAACAGCTGGAGACCTATGAGCTGGATGGAGGGTTGTTGAAGAGCAACTGCTGCAGAATCCATATATTTTCCTGGTTTTCCACTGTTTTCTGCAATGTCTTGACACTGATTTCATTTCTTCAGCACTAAATGTAGTCACACCTGCACAGATTTTTTTTGCTGCTTCTGATGAAAGAAAAATGTGAGACTAGGCAATTCTGAAACCAGGTTAGGGGAAGATTGTGACAGCTACAACTATAATTACTGGGTCATTTAAAACAAGAGGAAGGGATTCCTGCCAAAAGACTGAATCCATTTTGTTTCCACTCATAACCCAGAGGCTGGAATACAACCCTTTTGTTATAGTAGTCTTGTCAACACCTGCATGTCTGTTTCCAGTAGCAACTGCTTTGCTCTGAACGCACACCCAAGGATCCAAATGAATGGGTTTTTTCTCCCCATTAAGCTGTCCTCCAGCACAGCTGTAAGATACGGTAAAGGGATGCTGAAGCAGGTCTGTAGCAGCTACTCGGCTGCATCTCTCTCAAGGCAGTGGAGAAAAGCTGGACTGGCAGCATCAGACGGGTGGTGGGTGGAGGATCTCATTCAGCAGTGCATCCATCAGTCATCTGTGCAGTCAGCTGAGCTTTGGAATTGGGGACCTGCTGGAGTTGGGGAAGAGTATTTCACATCTATGCCAGCATTGTATATATTTTAAAATGAAGTTTCAATCTCTGTACTTTTCTAGCAAAAGATCTAAATGATTCCTTCCTTTGGCTGAAGTATTTGGCAGTTTTGTCCTCTCAGGAAATCACTTAACAGCTTAAAGCAAAGCTGGGATTTGTTGCATTAAAGAATACGTGATGTTTTTTGTGTAGTTTTAGCCACATGCAAACACCTCTGTTCTTTGTATGTGCTCAGTGCAAGTCATGACTTTCACAGGGTGTCTGCTGTGGCTTAAAGCAGCAGACAGTGCACTGATAGTTTTGGTAGTATGTAGCTGTATGAAGCTGATGCAAGAAATCCACTGAATTTCTAAGGTCTTCAGTTACCTCTGAATGTTTGACTCTGATTGGAATCTAATATGTTGGGTATGTAATCCCTAGTTGAAGAGCAACTGGATTCTGCCTTATGAAGCAGAAATTCATCTGCAGTTACATTGTGAGCATGTATGGTTTGGCTTGGAAGGTACAAGAAATAAAGGAGCAAAGCTGTACTTGCCATTGGCTTGCTTTATTCTATCATGGATCCGAAAGACCAGGATGAGCAGAAATCCTTCTCCAAGCTGGAACAGCAAGTAGAGCAGGGGGAAGAAGTACAGGGGGCCAATGATCTCTGGGGCGAAGGCGACCTTGAGGATAACAGAGCAAAGCTGTACGTTCTGGCAGCCAGTTTCCATGCACACTGTCCGCCTGCACCTGAAGGAGAAAAACTTCAATAGATCACAGATTTAAATTCTGCTTCAAACAACTGAAACAGAGCCTTCCCCACCTTGCTGGTGCGCTTGCCTGTAGCTAAAAGGTGCTCTGTCAGGAACAATACTGCAATCCCTAGAAGGTTTTGCCTTCTGCTCCCTTTGCAATGGGCAGAGAGAGATCATGTTGCAGATGTGAATTTTGTTCATAATGGGACTGGAGGCCTTATGTCCTGCTCTGGACTCCACAGCTTCCTGCAGGGAAGTAATCTCCTGAGGTGGTAAGAGTCCAACATACGAAGGTATAAAATAGGACTAGGAGGATTCCCACCTGTTTAAGGTAGGATGAGGAAAAAAGGAGGAGCAGGTTTTATATGCCAGGTTTTCATTCTAAATTCCTGGGGCTGCAGCTGAGAATGCACTGACTGGTTTGGGGTAGTGATCAGCTGGGCAATAATTGTGTCACTTGGGATTTGAGCTCTGTTGGTATTTCTCAGTTATTTGGGTTTGGGGTTTTTTGGGCTTGGGTTTTTTTTTTTTTTTTGGTGCTAATAATTTCCCCCCAGCTTCATTACCAAAAGCAGAGGTTGGTAATATGTTTAGCAGGTCACTAGTGACCTTAAGCCAAAACTATCCATCTACTTGTTCAGTGAAGCTTCTGTGGTGATCAGGTGTCTGTGCTAAAAAAACCTGCTTAGCTATTCTTCCCCTCTTAGCTAAGCCAAGCAGAGGTTAAAGTAATTTCTCTTCCCACCCAAAGTATGGGAGTCACTGGCTTGTGACCAGCTTGTACTGCGTCTGGTTGTATTCCTAGGTCCTGTTTTGGATGAGTGGGGTTAGTACAGAAGTATATTCCTAAAATCCATGTTTTCACCATTGCTCTGCAAAGCAGAGCTGCCATACATCTCTGTTCCTGATGAGAGAGAGAGAGAGGGGAGGGAGGTGTGGAAGAACATACCGGTCATCAAGCTTGAAGGCTGCAGAGACAGCGTAGCCCAGCAGAAATCCAGTAAGGGGCATTAAGGCAGAAGTTCCCAGGAGAGATGGTGAGAAGACAACCATGATACAGCTTCCCATATTGGCCACAGACAGAACAATTATAGCAGCAGATGACAGTAGAAGCATAACCATCCCTGCCTAAAATAAAAGTGATTGAGATGTGGAAAAGAGAGAAATCCCTGGTAAAATTTGCCTCAGCTGTTAGAAGCAGCTGTACCCAGTTCTCTGTCCATCCCATGAAGTACACAGAGGGCACAAGTGCCTTTCATGGACATAAATGTTACCAGTAATCAACAGGAGACCATCCTGGCCTGTTACTGAGAGAAACCTTAAACAACCAAAGACGTTTCTAGTCTATATGCAAAACGACTGGTGTTGCTGCACAAGCTGCTGGTTTCTCAGGCATTGCTACTTGTGTCTGTCCAGGTCCCTTTGTGGCTCTAGTCCACCCCAAGCAGGTGTTGAGCAAACCACTTTACTCACAGGTAGAGCCTAGCAGAGCTCTTGAGTTAGACAATGGTGCACATGGTTATCTGGTTTTCTGTTCTGCTGCTTAAATGCCTGATGTATAAAGCAGGCAGGGATGTGATTCCAGGCATAAGTGGCACTTGGTGATGGAGGGGCTTCTGTTGGATAGGCATCTCAATAACTTAAACAGCAATTTTGTGATTTGATTTTTGCCTCGTGCTAGACCTCTGATAGCAGTGGGGTGGTTTTAATTTGTTTTGGGATGGTTATTGTTTGTTTGGTTGGTTTTTATCTGGATTCTGCTCTGGTTGCAGCAGTATTTGGGAGCAGTGCCTATGAGGTTCATTAGTGCTGATATTGCAAAAATCCTCCAAAGTTAAAACTGAAGCAAAAGAAGAGCAATGTAGGAATTTGGCTACAAAACATCTGAGAAGATAGAGGACTTCTCCTTGGCCAAATATTTTAACCAATAAAGTGGTGAAGTGGATGTCATGAGCTCTATCCTCAACCGTTTTACTGATTTGTGGCATGTCTTAAAGAAGTTAGTATGTCTGTGACTCTATTTCTGAAAACTTCCTCAAGGCCCTTGGTTGAAAGATGACTAGCACAGGATAGTTCTTACCTTGGTGATAAGGCCAGTGTACTGTGGTTTCTTCTCATTCAAGATGATGCCGATGGCACAGGGGATTAGCAGCAGCACCAGGGAGGTGATAATTCCTTTGTAAGGTACCTTGCCCTCCAAATCACCCTCATGGAGTCCTCCAGAGTAAAGGTATAGAAGCAGTGGCATTAATCCAATCGCCAGGACCATGGAGCACGCGGTCATTACAACACTGAGATGAAGAAAGGACCCCTCAGTAGAAGAACAACACTTTCTAAAAATGGACTATGCTAATCTGATTACTTGCCTGGACAGATGATTTTAATGTAAGACTTTACCTTGCTTTTTCCCAACTTGTCACTGAGATCTCCCCAACATCACTGTCAGATTGTAGAAGGATGTGATATGAATGGAGAAGGGAGAAGATGGCTCAAGTTTCATACTTGCAAGAAAGGGTACATACCCATTATATGGATTTGCATGTCAGAAATTCACAACTGAGAGAAAAAGTAAGACTTTGTATTTTTGTGCTGGATCTTGTTTTATCACTAGGATTTGTTGGAGAGTGGTGGTTTGCTAGTTCAACATTTCTCACTGATGCAGCCTTTTCAGGCAGCATGATCAGTTTACATAGAATTGCATGGATAGATACAGCATATATATATGTATATATGCTCTATGTACTGCTACATGGAGATGAAAAAGTGTTCTGCACCCACGTCAAGAGCAGTATGCCAATAATTCAGAGAAAGATGCAAAGTCCCATTGTAAAACAGGGACAAATTAACTTCTTGAGCAATATGGGGGCTTTAAAAATGTTTTGGACTTAGTATTTCAGTCTTTGTCCAGCTTCTTGGGGCCTCCTAATGTTGATTAAATTAGTTTCTGAACCAGTCATATAACTAGATTGGCCTGGACAATGAACAGCTATGTAGCTTTCCTTACCTGAGGTTCATGTCCCCTCTCAGTGCCAGGCTAAAGATGCTGGAGAGACTTCCCCCAGGGCAGCAGCCACAGATGAGGATGGCCAGGGATTCTGAGGTGCCCAGCTGGAAGAGCTTGCCCAGTGTGAATGCTGTCAAGGGCATGATGCTGTACTGAGCTGTTATGGCTATTGCCACATCTTTAGGTCTCCTGAGGTGAGCTGTGATCTTGGCTATCTCCATTGTACATCCCAGGGACACCATGATGACGAGGAGGACCCCAATTAGGATTACATTCAGGGCTGTGTCCATAGCCTGCTGTCCAAATGCAAAGGGTGGTGCCAGACTGGTGAGGGAGGTGCTGCTCTGCATGCAGCCTGGGCTCCAAAGTTCTGGGCTACCAAAAGCTCCCTTGGTCTTGTTCATCCTGCTGAGGGGTTAGGAAGTCTCTTCTTTAAGTGGCTGGGAAGGTGAGGGAAGGATTGATTCAAAAGTCCAGATAACATTTAATTAATGCAAGCAAAACATGAGCTCTCTTTCAGGACACTACCCTTACCCTTCAGCAGCTGTTGAAACAGAAATCTGCATTTAGAGCAATCAGCTGTGAACCCCATTCACTTTGGAAATATCCTGTGCAGTTTGTGTATCTTCTGCTCTGGTCCTCCACTTCTTCCAGCATCCACCCTCACAATGAGACAGCTGGTGAGAGCAAGAGGGAGACAGCTCAAGGTGGGTAGAGATGACAGGTGAACATGAGCACTTCATACAAAGGAAAATGAACCAGAGCTCCTCTCATTCACAAGATACTGCTAAGGCCAACACTTGAAAACATGATGCATCCAGGATACTTTGTTTTTAATGAGATTATAAAATACTTATTCTTCTGGTCATAAATAAAGCTTTTGATAGCGAGGTCTAGGAAGATATTACTATGTGGATGAGTAATTTCTGCAGTAAATTCTTAGGGGCCTTCATGTCTCTTTCCTCATCTATTAGGTCTGACACTGTCTAGAATTTTTTTGGTTGCATATAGGAATTAATTTCCAAGCCTTACCAACACTGAAAATATTATTCCCTCCTTGGTGCTGAGGGAAGGTTCTGCACAGTACGTACCTCAACTGACCTCATCAGGGCAAGGCTGGGCTTGATGGGCACAGCAGTGCTGCATCCAGGAGCTGGGGGGTTCTGCCTTGTGATCCAGGCTGCCAACATCACACCAACTCTCCAAGCAAAGCCCAATGGGCAGCAGTTTCCCACCCCAGCCTGGGATCTGCCCTGTGCTTTCAGGGCAAGGCTTGCACGGCACGACACGCTCTTCATGCTCTGGTGTGCAGGGGAGAAGGGCCTGGGCAGCTGATGCTGGAGCAGGAGGAGGGATTGGAAAGGTGATTAGTCCTCCAGCTTCTGCAAGGGTGACTGCTGCTCATCCTGCCACTGCTCCCTGTCTGTAACAGGGGATGCTCTTCCCTACACCTGCCATGCTGGGGAATGGCACGCTGCCTGCCTTGCTCTCTCAGGTGGCATGCTTCCTGATCCCTCAGCAGGCTTTGCCTTCATTTAAGGCATTTATTGCCTTCAGATTGACCTGAGCCATCCCCTAGGTCAAGGGAGGGACTCTAGAAACAGACAGAGTGGAGCACGTTAAACTAGACCAAAACAGATGGTGTTACCTTAGTGCCAGTGGACACGGTTGTAGGAAGCTTTGGTGGATCACCCGCTGCTCTGTCCTCTCCTGGCTGGGCTTGGTGAGCGAGAGTATTCTTCAGTCATCCTGCTTCAAGAAAATCCCCCTTGGTGAAATCCTGTCCTCTGCTTGCAGGATATAAAGCCTGGGTCTAAAAGAGCCTTGCAGACAGGGAAGTTGTTATTTGGTAGTTGTACTAACCGGACTGGGGAAGGGATTTTAAGCGGGGAGATTTGCTGCGCTCTGGCTGAGCTCTAATTCCTTTGCTGAAGGGTATTATGATGCTGCAGTAGCTTGTCCATTGCTTCTATTCATCTGGGAGCTCAGCAGGCTCAGCCTCTGCAGCCCTATTGCTCTGGAAACATTGCTGGAGGCAGGCAGGAATGTCAGAGCTGTTCTCCGTGTTCCTCCCCACTTGCTCTTGTTTTCCTTGGGAACTTTGTTTTCCAGGCTGGCAGCCAGGCCGGAAAAGCACCAACAACAGCTCAGGAGGCCAGCACAGGCATCCCCCATCGGGCGGGAAGAAGCAGCGCCCGTGGCTCTCAGCGGCTCTGCACATCCATACCTTCTCCTACACCTTTGTGAGCACCACACTGCCATTTCTGGGGACAAAGGGCCCTTCAGTAAGTCACAGGTGGTGCCTGGAGCCCCCTGTGTCACTGTGGTGGCAGAGTAGTGCCTCAGCTCGTTGCTGGCTCCTGGCTGAGCAGGTAGGGCAAGGAGGCCTACAGCACTGTGTGCATTTTGATTTTCTGTAGGCATTTGCAAGCCCACCAGGCGCAAGTAAGGGCTGCCCAAGTAGCACATGGGCAAGATCCATAAGAATTAAGAGAAGAGCACAGGAGCAAAGCCCACAGCAATTCTTTATGTCTTTCTATCCCTGTCTTCAGGACATTTCCCCCTCTGTGAGTCCCCAGCCTTCCTGGGGAAAGCTTGTTTTTCACTGTTTGCCTTTTAGCTGTGTGCTGAATTTTGTAAGGAATGCAGAAAGAGTCAAGCCAAGCAATAAAGTGCTTATAAAGTGTCACTGCCTGGGCAGCACCTCCTCTTCCCCTAAACTCAGTGTAGCTCAGGTTTTTAAAATGTCAATGTTCTAACACTGTCACCCTTTGCAGGACTGTAGAAGAATGTTTCAATGACTCTAATAATTTAAAAAATGCCTGCTAGTTGTTCATTGTTCAACTGGTACACATTGCACAGCTGAATAATTCCTATTGGTTCCCAGTAGTTGATGGAGGAAATGCCACAGGAGCCAAGGAAGAGACTGGTTGAAGAAAGCAGAATAAATTAGGATCATTATTTCACCCTGGTTCATGCTTGGACATTCAGTTATTTGACATGGGCACCAGAGCTGCGAGTTTGCATTTAAGTGTGGCCAAAGAGCTGTATCCCTGCGGTGGGACCTGGGAGGTGGGATGGCTGGAGGGATTGTTGGAGGGATGGCTGGAGGGATTGTTGGAGGGATGTCCGGAGGGATGGCTGGAGGGATGGCTGGAGGGATGTCCGGAGGGATGGTTGGAGGGATGGCTGGAGGGATGGCTGGAGGAATGGCTGGAGGAAGGAGTGTGCTCTCATTGCAGAAGGCCCGGCTGTTGCACGGGCATGCTGCTGCCTTACTGCTCAAGTCACCTACCAGAGGATGCATTTGCCTCGCAGAAGCCGTCTCTTTAATCCCTGGGCAAAGCGTGCCTTTTCCTTCCTTCAGGCACTCGCTGGGAGGGCTCGGCTCCTCAGAGGTAAGCTCCCGGCTGCCCCGCCAGCCGCGCTCTCCGCTCCCCTGCGGGCCGGGGAGCGCTGCCCTGCCGGGCTGGTGCCGCTGGAGGGCGCTGCCCGCCCGCCTGCACAGCACAGCGCCCAGCGCGCACCGCGGGCTGCTCACATCGGCCCTGGGAAACACAAACATCCCCAAATCCACAGCTACGGCCTAATGCTGCCTTGTGGATTTTTATTTTTATTTTTTTTTTTTATTTTTTTTTTGGAAGGAGTTAGTGCTTCATGCTTTCATAATGCAGCTTCATAAATCCACCTGATAAATACAAAAAGGCTTATGTGACCCTTTCAGTGGCAGGGGGGCTGAAGTCTAATTTCTCTGTTTGCAGCTGGGATCATCATCTCCTGTGTTTTTACAGATTTTACCATAACCTGAGCTCAATCTAGTGGCTGCCCAAAGGCCCTGTTTCAGCAGATGTGCCCGACAGGAGCAGTGGTGCTTCATTATATGAGATTTCACATTGCTGGCCCACAATACAAGACAAGTCTTTGACCTCTGGTGCCCACATTTTGCTCAGGTAAGGTTTGTGAAAACATTGAGAACTGTACTGTTAGGTGCTTGGCTAATCAGTTGGCTCATTTCTGTGTGATTTTGAGGCAATTTGCCCATCACAGCCCTGCACACATGTGGGCACTGTACTGGAGTGGGGATGGAACAAGGAGAGCTTCTGCAGAGACAATCAACTTGTCATGACTTGTTCCAGCTGTGGCTGAGGGCTTCATCCCAGCTGGAGACCCAGGGTGGACTTGGCAATGTCAGCCAGAGCATGCTCTATAGCCGGCCAGCAGTGAAAAAGAAACTTGCTCTGACGCCTCTTTGTCAGGGAGGTTATTTTAAATTTGAGTTTACTGGGCTTGTAGGCATTGTTTATACCTTGAGCAGTGTAGGAAACTCTGTAGAAAGAAATGCTGCTCCTGAGAGTGTGAGGTGCTTCAGTCATTTAGGCCAACATTTCTATCATATCAGGACACTGAATCTTCCTCTGAATTTCTAGAGGGAGGCTTTCCACCAGCACTGGGAAATACCTAAGGGTCTTGGTGGGTGGGAAGGGTCCTACCCCATCCTTCCAGAGGTGTTACTACCCTAAGGGATTTTAACTTACTCCAGTCAGAGAGCTCTGGAGAAGGGTTATGTTTATGTTAGGCAAGCCTAGGTTGCCATGGATTTCTGGCTGCTGTGATAGATTTTCTGTTTCCCAAAGGAACCTGTAGCAGTGGGCAATGTGGTGATAAATGGGAAAGACTCTGTGTTCCCTCAGTGGGAAGCAAGCTGCAGGTCTGTGGCAGAAAACCCCAGGGAGCACCCCTGGTTGAGGGCACCCCATGTTCTCAAAGGGTGTCTCTGTTTTTCCTACCTCTGCCTGCAGGAAAGGTGTCAGTGGGGTGTTGAAGCAGGTTCACCTCAAGGGGACATTTTTTTTTAATGAAAAACACTACAGAAGGAAGTGTGTTCGTGTCTGTGATGCTTATTTTTCTCTGAAGGAAGAGACATTTTTATTGTCCATTGTAGTTAGTTATTTACTATGTAATTAGTGGGTCTAGTTAATCTTGCATGTTTCATTTCTTCAGGGACCAGATGTCAAAGACAGCTTCAGAAAAATTTGACAGCTCTAGTTTTCCTGCAACTTGGATAAAATGCTATCAGCAGAACATTTCCCTAAACTTGTCTCCAATCTGTATAGCCTTGATATTGTTCTTAGTTTCACAGGAGAAATGAACCTTAGCTACTGTTCCTTGACCTTTGCAGGGTGATAGCTATACAGAAAATGCTGTCTTCTCTCTGGGTCACGTGAGAAGCCTCTGGCATGAGCTTGTGAGAGCTGCTGTGGGCAGCAGAAGGTTGCCCAGTTGCTTGCCTAACTTCCAGCTGTGGATGCTGTACATCTACAAAGGGAAATTGCACCTTGAGCTGAGGCCAGTGTGCTCATTTTGTATCAAAGTTTGCATTTTAAATTATTTCATTTGGTAGGTGGTGCTCAAGTTCTGATGTTATCGCTTTAAACTGCACAGTTGGTGGCATGCACTAGTCCTCCTTCCTACATAATGAATATGAAGATTTAATACAGGAGATGGTTAGAAAAGTGGAAGGTAAGAAATATGGTGTTCAGGAATAGTCAAGGATTGATGAAAGAGCCCAAGATGCTTATGAATGCACAGAAAGGCTGGTGTGAAAGCCTGGCTCCCCTAGGACACTCACTGGGGTGTCCTGAGTGTTCCAGCCCAAGGGAGCACCCCAAGTGGGCATGGAGGACAGCACCATAGCTGAGGTGGGCACCTGGAACCACCTCCCAAGGGATGTTTGAAGCCTGGATAGTCCTGGACTTCTGGTCAAGCTCTTGTGATCCACAATCCATCAGTAGAGAAATCCTAAATAAGTATCTGTGTGTTCAGCAGCACTTGGATATGGGGACCTGTGTGTTTACAGGGTGTGAGTTCTCACTGCTGTGGCTATGCCACTGCTTTTTAGTTTGGATTTGTGCACTCCGTTTACTTTGTTCCCTTTTTCTTCAACTTGTACTTGTTGTGACCAGACCCTGATTCAGTCTGAAGAGGCAGGATGTGCAGAGTTTATGGTCTTTACTTGCAAGGGAAGAGAGCTGGACTTATTTCCTTGCTTAGCATCCTGTTGTAAGACACAGGCCAATCAATTTCTGCCTCTCTTCTACCATCCTGCTAAAGCCCTATTACTGCCTGCCTGCATTGAGCTGTTGGCCTTTCTGCATAGTGCAGGTGTGCCACAAAAAGTTCAAGAGGACTGTTGAAAGGCCTCTGCTTGTGTACTTTACCCATCTGCCATCTTTGGCAGCTCCTTAGGCCCTTGTGGGCTGAGGTCTGTCTAGAACAGCAGCCTCTGGGTGGCTGGATCCCAGTTTGGGTGCCAAACATGTTCCTATTCCTCATGAATGTTTTGCTGAGTTTTTGGGCTGGTAGAAATCTCGTGTATTAGGCACTGCTGTGTTATTGGTATTCCTGTGGTCAGCCCCTGTGCTTGGGGCTTGTCCAGGCACCCAGGCAATGGCAAGCCAAACCCAGCAGTGCAGTGCTTTTGTCTTGCTTTAATTAATTAGAGTAGGACACCATTATTAGCAGCATAATTTTGTTTCCATTTGTTCATTCTGACAGCGACCAAAGGAAGCCATTATTTCTGCAAGAGGATGTTTCAGCAAGTGTTATGGTAAATAAAGCTAACAGGATCAGTGCAAAGGAGAGGATCACGTTCTCTTAAGGACAGCAATCGATAATCAGGCTGTTTCATGCCAAATCCTTCCAAGAGGCACGCTAGTGAGCTCACTCTCAGATCAGCCTTTAATCTTGGAGGATTACTGACCTCTTTACTGGCTGATATATTTCCCATGGTGTACCTGCTCTGTAGCACAGGTCTCCCTGCAAGATGTGCGGCAATTCTTTCAGCGCCCTCAGACACAAAGGAAAGAAGTTGATGGCACCCACCTGCCCCTTTGGGCCAAGACATTTCTGTTTGGATCAGGCTAAAGATGGAAGGCCAGGTCTGGGTTTGACACTGAATAATGTTTCACAGCCTTCCCTGCTCCATGAGCAGCAACAGCGCTGAGCACACCATAGGGTCCTAGAAACTGTGTGCTCCTCTGGCCCCTAAGGCAGGGACAGCAGTCTCAGTTTTAACTTTCTTGGCTGTAAGCAACATTATTACTGGAAGTAAAATGACACTGAAGACCTGTTCTTCATGCTGACAAATGAAATACTTCAGCAATGTGATGTCGGTTAAAATATCTTAACATTTTTTTGTGCAACCCTGGAGAAAAATGACAAGACGTACACTGCAGGGTGCTCATTCTTGAGATCTCCAGTGGTTTTTATACTCCTCATTTTAGTGTAAGTCTTTTGATCTTTGCAGTTTGGCACAAAGGTGTGGGCATTAGGTGAGCTACTCAGTTTTATTTTATAGAAAAAAATTAGTTTGTCACCCTCAAGGATTCGCAGAAAAGTTTGAAAATGTGATCATAAACATCAGGAAACCAGAGTGCAAGTAGGAGAAGTGCAAATAGGAAAAGAAATGTTTATAATTTTCTTTAAAAAACAGAACAAAATGCCTTGCAATTTTAAAGCTGTGATTCTCTGGAGCGTGGTGCATAATTTTTGAGTATGTGAGGTTGGCAGTGCTGGAAAGGATGCTTTTCTCTCCCCAGATCATGTTTTTTCTGCTGGGAATTTTAATTACCAGCTTTAACTGTTTCTGCACCTTTTTCTTGGCTGGCTTCTCCTGCAGCTGAGGAACCTCCCCCATCTCTGGGGGCTTGGACAGGCAGCCAGAGGTGGTGGCAGTGGCCAGGATTGCCCCAGTGGCAGAGGCTGGGCTGCCCTGCTTGGTTGTGTCTGGCCACATCCTTCAGACCTGCTGGGCAGCAAAGCCTCTCCAAGGTCTTTCAGCCCTCTCTCCTGGTGGGGGGGGTCAGGGGAGCTCACCCTGGGGAGCTCAGCAGCACCCCTTGTCCCCCACTCAGTTGCAGCCAGGCTGAGTGAATGACTTGGCTTGGAGGATTGTCTCCCACCTGCAAAGCTTGCTGTAGGGATGTGCTCTTCTCTGAGGACTACTGAAGGGCAGGAGCTCTTTCCTCCAGGGGCTTGTTGGCATGGCTGGTGATTCCTGTGAGCAGGGCCCCGGTGTGACCCTGCTCTCAGCAGGGCACAGAAAGGCACGGTGCCTTCCCAGAAATCCTGCAGGGATACAGCAACACTGCTGGGCTCTTCCCTCTGTTTCTCCCTTCCCAAGCCACCTCCCTTGGGCACTGCTCTTTCATATTTTTAGAAAGCACAGTTGATGTTTTTCAGCGCTGGCTTTGCACGTCAGCAGCCATTGCACAATGAGCTCTCAGGGACCATTTATTTCGCAAGCAAGGGTCGTACCCTGCGACAGTGTTTTCTGTCACCTCCTCAAGAGCACTTTGGGCTCTAGCTGCTTCAAAATGGCAGCTATTGTTCAGTGTCTCATGCCCTGCTTGAAACCAGGCCTCCCCCAGGCATGTTTCAATAGCTCTTCTTGGTGATCTATTTATCCCCACCTGCTTTCAGGGGGAGTGGGGAAGGGCTCATTCCTATTTTAGGGACCAATGCACCAATATGCTGCAAGCAGCCCCCTTCTCTGCCTCCCAGAGGTAGTCCTAATTTAATTTACCTTTCTGAGGTAGTCCTAATTTTATCTAGCATGAGCCCCTTGGAGAGCTGGGATCTGGAGGCTGATCATGCTCACTATACCAAGGTCTGTGCTGCATGGGCACAGGCCAACCCATCCTTTACAGAATGATGCCTGCAAATAGGGAAGTTATGATTTGAATTTATAAAAAAATATCAGCCCTCTGGATAAAGAAGGCCAACATTAAGTAGCACTTTGTTTTACAGCTAGAAGGTGACTGTGGAGACGGGGGGAGCCACTTATTACCTTTGGTAAGAGAATTGGCAAGACAAGTAGGAAACTTCAGAGGGTACAGGCTGTCTGGGCAAAGTCTGGATGCCCTCCCTCACTGGCTGGACTTGAGGACTGTGTATGTTAATATGGTGCACACATATTAACATTGTATATCCATAATTTCCCACAAAAATATCTTATTACAGAGAGCTTGTTTCTCCACTCCTCTATTGTAAGCACCTGTGGGTTGTGTGGGTCCTGTGGAACCAACCTTAGCTAACCCATGCCATCTCTAATCCTTCAGGGCTCTGACTGTTTTCACATTTTCCCAACTGGGCTGAGCACCCTTCCAAATTGTCAGCCTGCTGCCACGCACACTGATTTATATTCCCTGAGAAATACAATTGTAACTATTTCAATTACAAGACAACTCAAAACCATAAATGTCTCCAAAGTTGTGAAGAATGCCCCAGTCTAGGACCACAACAATCCTGCCTCCCTAAATTTTTCCCATTATGTTTTCCTGAATTTGACTGCATCTGATACTTCAGCTGGAATGATGTATGCCATTCCATATGCACTTCCAGCATGAGCACATCTGCATGGCACACTATCTGCTTCCCCTGACATGATGCCCGTATTTCCAACTATACCAGGACTCCTTTCCCCCTAGGCAAACCCCTCTTTTGGGTTTGTCCTGTTCCTTCCTATATTTGCTCATCCACTGTGAGAATTAGCTCTCCATAACTCAGGATCTAATTCTTGTTTGCTTTGGGCTGGTTCAGAGTTTTGCTAGTAAAGAGGGCACAGTTCTTGCAGGTTCTTAGGGCAGTGTGCTTTATTTCAGGCACAAACAAACCCGTTGCACTCAGCATGTGCAGTGCTGCATTCACCCACAGAGGTATATAAAGGGTAATGATAATGTTGCCCAGAAGGCTAACACATCAAAGGCCAAGGAGCAGTTAAAATGTATTATGAGCTGTTGGCAGTGATTGTGGGGGGTATTCGTGTGTTGCTGATTTGGATGGCTGGAGTAAATGAAAACCCTCTGGATTAATTGGTACACCAAAGAGATTTGGAGGAAAATGGAGGCCGATGGAAAATGGCAAACAAGGGAAAACACAGATAGCTGGGTGTGCTGACCTGCTGTGGGGCACTGCTGATTAACTTGCAGCTCCCTGCTGTGGCCTGGAAAGCCAGGCAGAGCTGGGGGTGCCCTCCCAGCGGCTCGCCCAGCACTCTGGTGGGAGCGGACTGAGCCCCACAGGCAGCATCTGCAGCGCTGCTATTTCAGCACAGCCAAGTGGGTAGTTAGAGGTGAGACTTACCAGGTGTCACAAGACACCTGGACACCACAGGACAAGAGTTTAATTACTTTTAATGATGTGGGGTGCTGGGGGAGTGAGAGGAGGCCGTGTGGTGCCTGGTGTCACAGAGCAACTGGAGCTGGGAATTTCAAAATGGATTTGCACAGTCTGCTGCCTGAACCAGATGACAACCAGAACTGAATGATACACTCCCATCTTTAGCTAGGATACCCATATTCCAACTACTATTTTGTGGTTTGTTATTAACCCTTAAATTTTACATAAATGGCATTTAGCCTAGGTGTTACACTGGCAGCCATACAGACTCCAATTGTACCAGCTCACTCACAAGCTCATTGAGCAGCTGGAGCAGGAGCACTCAGCACAGCACCAGTAAGTTGTGCCCTTGCAGACCACCTGCCTAGTGGTTGGGGCAGGTATCCTCATGCTGAGGAGAGAGGGCAACTGGGGGTCTTCCATATGTCCACACTGGAGCTGCAAAAGAGGGTCCTTGTCTTCTTTCTGATCAGCAGCTCTGCTCACCAATGGGTTTCTGAAATAATTGTGCCAAAGCCAACCTGCCACAACTTGTGCTGGTATCAGTGATCTCCCATCTGGACATCATCTTGCCAAGTAGTTCCTCTGTCTTGTCATGATCTGACTTACTCATCACTGACTCTGGTAGAGACACTTTTTTACTGCTAGTCTTGACTAGACACCTCCAGTTTGGGTGGTTTTCTGCTCTGTTCTACCAGTTCCTCCTGCAGCTTAGGAGTTTGTTTAATTCCTGTACTCAACTCTGCATATTTTTCTTTTGCAGACTTGAGGAGCCCTTGTCAAGGGAAGAAAAGCACAGAAGGTGATATGCTTCTGGTCACCTAGTGAAGGTCTCCTTCTTCTCTCATTACCATTTCAGTGCATGGAAGAGAGGAAGAAAGAGGCTGCTCTAACTGGCAGGTTCTCCCAACCACATGTCCTTCTGGCAGCTATGTGGGTGTCATGGGGATTGAAGGTAAAATAACACAATTCCAGAGGGCTCTTTCTCTGTCCTTTTCCTAAATATAGTTAGAAGAAAAATAGTAGAGTAAAGTTAGCAGAAAGACAGAGAAGGAAAGTGCATTGGTCTATGCACAGGTGGGATTGCTCCTCTCCCCAGGACCTAGACCCAACTTTGTCAGGCTCCTGTCTTGTCTCCCAGCTCATTGTCTCAGATTATTTAAAGCATGGCCCAGCTCTGCAGCCTCTGTCACTACCCATCCCACTGTCCTTCTGCTGGCAACCTCCTCCTCTGTGGGTGTCACAGGAAAAAAATTTTGCCTTCTGCTCATGTCTGGGTGCATTGTAGCAGGGTAGGAGAACGCATTTTTAATATAGTGAGACCATGAGAATGAGCATCACCAACTTTTTTTCTGACATGAGTCTGAAAAATTCCTTGCTTTTCCCATAAATCCAAGACATATATAAATAATCTGTTTTCAGTCTTGAAGCTGAAGGCAAGCATCAATTTTAAAATCTATTTTTAAAGCAAATAGCATTGTAATTTATAATGTTAAACCAAAGTTTTTGAAGTGCTCTCATCCTTGGAAAAAAGAGTACATTTTGTTTTTTGGTGACTAATGATGAAGTGTTTTCTAAAGGTGACTGAGCATAGCACAAAGAGTCCTAAATAAATTTATTAGCTTATCAAATGTAGTTAATTGAATTTGGTTGCTAATGGCTATGACTTTGCAAGCGAAAAGCACTTTTGGTGCTTTTAGACAGTTTCTTATCAAAGAACAAAAAATCCAACTTTAAAACATAACACAGCTTACTGAATAATCATGTTATTTGTCAGACAAGAAGAAGTATCATCACTGAAGTGCTCCCAAATGCCAAATTGGGTAATATACATAATTAGGCCCCATTTGATTAGATGTGTGCCCATGGTAACAGCCACACTCAAGATCCATATATTAGTAGAGACTTGAAATAATCTTCAAGAGGGATGATGGCAACATCTGAAGCTTCAATGAGGAGACTTTTGGAACATAACCTACACACCAATTTTCTCTGTTCCAGTGGTTATTCTTTATCTTATTATCTTCTATTTTTAAAACAATGCATACCTTGGTTCTCAAAGGTGATATATTGCTTCCACGAAGTGTCAGTACACTTTTGTCCCTACAAGGAAGATCTCTTACTCATCTTCATCATGTTATAAAGCCTAAAACCTTCCTATATTTAGGGATGAAACACAGCAATTGGCAAGGCTGCTGCAAGCTGTCTCTAGGAGGTGGCAACAATCATCTCCTGGAAGGCAGCCCATCTCAGATCCACTCTCGTCCTGCAGCCTGGGACAGCCCTGTGATGGATAAAGTCTCCTGCATGTTCTTTTAGGCTTTTGCAGAAGCCTTGTGAAGAAACTGCGAGGTCTCAGCAAGAAACTGATTTTGCATCAGATACAAGGCTCAGAGAGCCTGTGAGCCCTGAGCTACTGCCAGCCCACAGGGAATGAGTCCAGAGAGTACTGTTTGGGCAGCAGGGGAATGCAAGAGAGTGTTTAGCTGTAGATACAATATGAGTTGTCCCTGCAGTTTACTTTACATGCTTAGAGGGTGAATGAGTTTGGAAGTGTTGGGAGAGAATCAGAGAATTAGCAGAATGAATTATTATTATGCATTATGTATACAAAAAGAGAGAAATTTATCTCCTGGTGCAATACTGTATATCCAGGAATGATGATAGGTGCTGCTTCTGCAGAAATGCTGGCTGGAAAATATTTAAAAGAAGGTTCTTTCCCTCAGTAAGGAAGAGACCAAGATACAGAAAATTCCCCCAGGTGAAGGTACCAGGGAAAGCCTGGTCTGTAGCAGAGAAACCGAGACAATGGGTGCTGAGAGTCTGTCAGGAGAGGAGCACAGAGTCTCAGTCCTGGCCAGTTTGGTCTAGAGGGCTCAGGGGTATATGTGGCTAATCTGGTCATGTCAGCTATCCCACCAGTGCAAGAGAGCCACAGTGGACCCCTTACAATGTCCTCACCTTATAGGAACAAGACAGGACCTGGCTCCAGGGGACTCTGAAGGTATGTCATGGAGAGGAAGTCAACACTGAAAGACTCTGAAAAATAAATGTACAAAGACGTTTTAGAATGTCTTTTAGCTTTTTGGAAGAAGGCTATCCTGAGCAAATGGGAAACAGAACAGCTAAAAAGCTTTGGTGGGCGGAGAGGGAGCACAGGAGAAGATTTTATTCCCTGGTTTAGCTGTTACTTGCCACAGAGAACACCTGGGAGCACTTTCTCTAAGGGGCCAGTGACACAGCCAGCCATATTTGTAGCCCTCAGCTGGACAGCAAGAACACTGTAGGAGTGTCAATACAAAGTCATCAAACTGTTACTGGATGCAGCGTTAGGATTACACTTACTGAGGTGGAAGTAGACCTGTGGATCCACCTTGGGCATGCAGCGCATGATCAGGAGCATATAATCTTTCTCCATATTTGCATGTTCTTAACATGCTCAGAGGAGAGGATCCTCAGCCATATAAATTAACAGCACAGGTCAAATTATACTGAAGCTGTGAAATTCCTACACCCTTCCCTCTTTTCTTTAAGTACGTGCTGTTTTTAACACTTGTTCCCAAAACAGGAGATTATTCAAACCAGTTTCTTGTTATTCACATCAGCACCAAACTATGAGGTCTGAAATTCGCCAGACCAAACCCTGGGTCCGCTCTGGAGGACAGCAGGAGAACTCTAAACTGGGTTGTGTGTGAACCCTGTGGTGATGGTAGTGATGGCTGTGCCAGCCCTAAACACCCTGTTTTAAAGATATCTTGCAGACAGATTTTGTGTTTTGACCACCTGTGTTTGACAGTGCGCTTGTACTGGGTATTCCCAGGCACACAGGACCTCCTACAGGCTGAAGGGCATTCTCTGGTCGCTGGGCTGGAAGTCTGGCAGCTCTTTGGTGGTGAAGCCAGCCCTGAGAGAGTCCTGGGGGTGCCACTGAAAGGCACGGTGGATGTGCTGAGTGTGGGAGTGAGAGTGCTCACACACACACACACAATATAAGCAGTATTGGTCCCTCCTGTGATAAATGGCTCTAAGTACAGCTTTGTGAAATTCTGAATTTCTGTTTTTCAGAACAGAACAAACTGGGGTAAAAAACAGGAAAAATTGTTTCCTGGAATTATAACAGTCATATTCATAAATGTTTCTGTGTTCTGTTTTGACATTTTTTTGGATCAAAGTGAAGCATTTTGACATTTCTGAGGTAGGAATGTTTTGCTTCAATTTGTTGAACTGACATGAAATGTTTAGTTTCAAGTCTGCTTAACATTAAAATAGGCAGTGCCTTTCCTTGGGTTTGGGTCCCATTCTCTCCTCTGGGCTGTGCTCCCTGGGAGCTCTGCCCGGCTCCCATAAAGCTTGGGCAAGGTCCACATTGTTCTCAGTCAGTCCTCAGCCACAAGCCCCATGCACAGGAGGAAAAAAGAGGCCTTTTTGGGAAAGTTCCTTTTCATGCTGAACTCAACTGGAATGAAAAAAATTGTGGCAGTTGGAGCAAAGTGCTTGGTTCCAGTTCAGTGCGACAAAACATCATTTCTTGTCAGCAGCATCCCTGTCTTCCCATAGGCACTTTTTATGTAGCAGAAACTATTTTCTGATTAAAAAAGATCTCCCAGTAAGTGCCCACCAGGTGTTGATGTGATCTGCACCCACAATCTCCAGAAGGTCTGCAGGCTGGACCCTTGGATGCAGTGGAGGGGCTGCCCTTTGGTGTTGGTTGAGCAGATTTCCCAACAGGCTAAAGACCCTAAAGACCCCATTTGCCTGCCTGGGGGCTGGCTGGGGCTGGGGCAGCCTCTGGCTTGGCTGTTCCCAGGGGAGGTGAGGGGGCTGCAATAGGGACAGGAGGGTCTCCTCTGGGAATTCAGCAGACTCTGCTCTTTTCCACAGGTGGCTCTAAGGTCTTCCTGGGATTTCTGATGAAATTTACGTGCAAGTCAGTTCAGAAGCTGCTTTGGTTCATTCTCAACAGCTCTTTATGGGATGAAGCAGATCCTTCTACTTACTGTGAGGGATAATTGAACTCCTTGCCCTCCCCCTTTCCTGGGCAGCAGCTTCAAAAGGTCTCTGATTTTGCTCACCAATCAAGCAATCTCATTTGCAAAACAACTGCAAGGGCCCTGCAAAAGCAGAAGGACAGCTCTTTTGTTAAATCGTGCCTTTTGGTGACACAAAGGAATCGTAAAGGTGATGGAGCTGCAGACTGGACAGCCACATTTCCTGGACTGTGCAGGCTGCCTTCCCTCCCCCTACCAGCTGTAATTTCAGACCCCGAGTCTAAGGGTTATGCAAGGCTCGAGCCCAGTGAGAACAAGGTGCACTGCAACTATTCTTAGCTCCAAAAATGATTCCTGGCTTTGCTTTGAAATCTGAACCAGGGTTAATTTCTCGCCCCCTTCCCCCCCCCCCCCCCCCC